GTGATTTTTGGCCTGATAACAAATTACCTCAAAACTTACATTCATTGTCTCATATTGTTTATGGGGATCAGGAATCTGGAAGCAGCTTAGCTGGGTAGTTCTGGCACAGGGTCTCCTGGAGGTTGTAGTCAAGCTTTCGGTTGAAGCTGAAGTCATATGAAGTCTTGATCGGTTCCAGAGGATCAGCTTCAATCTCACTCAGATGTCTGTTGACAGAAGGCATTATCTGCCTGCCATGTGTGTCTTTCTGTAGGACTGCTTCCAACATGGCAGACCTTTCCCAGAGCAAGCTATCTAAGAGAGAAAGCAAGGGTTACCAAGACATGCCACAGTGTCTTTTATAACCTTATATTGAAAGTGACATACCATAACTTCTGTCATATTCTATTGGTTACATAGACCAACCATGGTATAGTGTAGGAGGGGACTGCATAAGGGCGTGAATGCCAGGAGCAGAGATCACAGGGAGCTGTCTCAGGGCTGGTTACCTCTGCCTTCAAATAGTTTTCCTCAGCAATGCCACAGACCCTTTTTTATTTATTTTTATTTTTATTGTTTTGCTTTAATTTTAGATGAGAGCCAGGAGGCTTTGAAATGATCATAGTGGTTTATAATGTACCAGCAAATGAAAGGCATCTGAGCATCAAGATAAATGTCTGAGTGGGGTCTAATAGCCACTTGAAAAGCATGTGGCTCCATATGCCTAAGAAATGCACAGCTGACTTCAGTAAAATCTCAACTATTAAATATTGCAGCTCTGCACTTTAACAAAGTGCAAAGGACAGAAGTTGTCTCTCTATATTAACAAGTAAGAATGGTTAGCGGATAAGGCACGGTTTACAAATCTGTGTTTATGATTGGGGTCTGGCTGAAAAACAGCGAGAATAAACCATACAACCTGGGAAGTCTAATTCTAGCCGGAAATTGCTTTGAAATAACATCATACTTCATTCACTCCCCAACTGATTTTTCTTTGATGACCAGTTTGGACACATCAATAAAATGTCCTGTCACTTACCATATTTTATTTTCTTACAGCATTTCCTACTGATGGAAATTCTAATGGTGCCTGTTCTTACAGCAGAATCCACACTCTGATTTAGATTTGCCAAGCAGATTGGTTTTGGCTAAATTTCTTGCCCAAGTGCAGGCCCTTATGGTTTGAGAGATCTCATTTAAAGATCCCTAAAGAAAAATATGCAGCCTTTACTGGCTTGGATTTGTAGCTCCAAATTTTAGAAGAAAGCGGCTGGTTAACATTACAGACATTTTGAAGTACTTGTCTTTCAGAAATGCAAAGAACAATAGCAAGAAAAGCCTTTTGATGGTTCAGAATTTATTTTATTTTATGTACCTATTAATTGGTACACTTTCTCCCCCATTTTAACCAAAGATTCTGTACATTGAAACAATAAGTAAAGACATGTGTCTGCTTTAAAATCTTGATATTGGTTAAGTCTCCATAGTCCTTTTTCATGCTTTCTGGGAAAAGGCTCTTCTGTTCTCTCAGCCCAGCAGTACTTTGATCTCAGAAGCAGTGCCATTTGGTTGTAAATGTATGTGGCGCCTTTGATCTACTACTTAGCTGGTCTTATTTAAAATAGATAGCTTCTTTCATCTAAGTAGTGTTTACTAGGTCTCTCTCTATGAAAGATGGCTTAAATTGCCATCATTTAGATAGAAAGTTATATAAAGTTTCTTAGGATTGCCCAGATCTGAGTGTAGTTCTCTACACTCTAAAAGCCCAATGGCTCTATTATAGATTTTATAAAGCAAATTCCTATTAAAATGGGCTACTCCTACAGATGTCAGGTAATATTTGCAAAAACTTTGTTTGCTTTTTGATAGGAAACTGATTTTCCAAAGAATAATAAGCATATCCTACACTCAGGCAAAAATGGTCATTTCAGATTGTCTGAACTTAATGGCCAATTATCCCTCTGAAATTCACACATTAATATATTTTTATATTACTGCATTTTACATACCATATAGGGTATATTGAAATGGGATTTTTTTTTTTAAATAATGAGTATATATATTTAATTCTCTTCTTTACGAGGATTTCTTGAACATTTTGTCAGGTGCCTTAATGACTTGTGTTTTAATTTTCCAGGCCTCATTCAGTTATTCATCCAACAAACTATATTTCAAGTACAGAGACACAAAGATGACTTAGTCACAGACTCTGCCTTTAGGTTGCTCACAGCCTAGGGTTGTGGGGCAGAGCACTAGCAGATAATTTCATGGCAGTGTGGTGAATGCCCCACCCTGGCCTTGGGAGTGGTCATGGAAAACTTTCTGGAAGACATGGCACCTGAGTTTCATTGCAAGCCTGCCAACTCAGAACTCAATGTCCCCGAAATTCCCAGTCAAGTCCATAAGGCAAAGTCGACCTATCTGTCCAGACCCACCTAATTTAATACAAGTGTCCTAAACCTTAGGAGAGGTCTAAATATTCGATGACTTTTGCTGCCTGAAGCAACCCCAAAGCCTTCTTACTTGTCATTCAACTCTAAGGAGGAAAATCCCAAACCACTTTTAAAACTTTTGCACCATTCTTTATTTAAAAGGAGATATTGGAACTCTCTTTGTGTTGTAAACTAAAATAGCTGTGTATATTGCTATTTTTGTTAGGCTACTGACACGTGTCTTTTTCCATCCTTTTTGGTGTCCTGTTCCTATTTTAGAAGTCTTGTCATTACTTCATCTGAATACTAACCACATGTGAGCATTTCCAAGGGCTGACCCTGGGAGTAGGCACTCTGGAGGATGCTCAAGAAATACATAAGTGGCCCTTCCCAGGCCTGAAGGTGGGAGAGGAGCAGGAAGAAGTAATCTGTAGTCAAGAAGGGATCATTACAGTAGTAGTCACACTGTCCAAAGAGGGAGGTCGAAGCAGGAAAATCAGAGGGGGCTGGGGTCTGACCTCAGGGGACTCATACAGGGTTCGTGGAGATGGAGAGGAGAGGCCAGCCTCTAGAGGATACAAGAACATGAGTTTGGAGCATTCCTTGGTCAGTGCAGGGATGGTCAGTATGGGGCAGATGAGGTAGAGGCGAGGATGTGTGGAAAGCAAACTGAGGGGGTTTGGCTTTTTCCCAGTGGAGTTACTGAGTCCAGTGTGAAAATAAAGTGGGATCTTTGATACCTGCCCTGTTCTTTCACATCAGTCACCAAACACTACTGATTCTGAGAATCATGCATTTTAGGTGGTAGGAGTCCTAGAGATCAGAGAGCCTGGCCTTCCCATTTGTCCAGTGAGGAAATAAGTCCCGAAATTGAGGAGGCCTGTGTCTCACAATCACTAAGTAGCAGAGCCAGGGGTGTTGGTCCACCCTGTTGACCAGGACCTGAGCCTGAGCTTCTCTTCCTGGGGCTTGTTTCCCACCAGTAGTTTTGGAGTAGGGTCTGGGACCCTTGATAGTTCACAGGAACCTGTAGGAGAAATAGCATCTCACCCTCCAGTAGGAGTGGGCTCCAAGGACAGTGCAGTTCTCATAGGGCTTCATCCCTCTGTCTGGACCCCCAGGAGTCCACACCAAGCCAGAATTTGAATAAGAGGAGCTGTAGTTGGTAATAAAAGAGAGAGGATAAAAAAGAATCAGGATACATTGAGCAGACCCATATGAGCCACAGGAAATCCAGGTTAGTGGAATAGAGAGCAATATTACTTTTAGGAGAATTTTTTTTAATGAGTTGCTAATCATAGTCTGCCTATGGTTCCTAACTTCAGAAAGGCCAAATGGAGCATGTCCCACCCACTGTGTGGACTGAGTGCAAGGTGGACATGGCGGTCCTCCAGTTGCTGGAGTAGTGGGGGTTGGGGGGGATGGGGTAGCTGGGTGATGGACATTAGGGAGGGTATGTGCTATGGTGAGCACTGTGAATTGTGTAAGACTGATGAATCACAGACCTGTACCCCTGAAACAAATAATACATTATATGTTAAAAAAAAGAAGAAGAAGAAGATAGCAAGAAGGGGAAAATGAAGAGGGGGAAATCAGAGGGGGAGATGAACCATGAGAGACTATGGACTCTGAGAAACAAACTGAGGGTTCTAGAGGGGAGGGAGTGGGGGGTTGGGTTAGCCTGGTGATGGGTATTAAAGAGGGCATGTATTGAATGGAGCACTGGGTGTTATATGCAAACAATGAATCATGGAACACTACATCAAAAACTAATGATTTACTACTGTATGGTGACTAACATAACATAATAAAGTAAAATTAAAAAAAAGAAAAAGAAAATCAGGGAACTGTTATTAGAGGGAAAGTGGGAAGATAAATGCTGGAAAAGCCAAAACAGTAGATTTTGACAGCAGCTCCCTTGTCCTGACCTGGACATGTGAGTACATATAAGAGTGGGATAGTCCCATAGAGTATTACCATGTGCCAGGTATTCTCAGTGCTTCATGTATATTAAATAATTGTGTCTATCCTCAGCTCGATGACATAAGCATTACTATTATTCCCATTTACAGAGGAGGAAACTGAGACACAGAAAGGTTAACTTGCCCAGTCTTTTAGCTAACAAGTACCATAGCTGGGATCTGAATCTAAGCAGTCTGACTCCAGAACCTGTGTTCTTAATTACTGTGTTAAAGATATCTCCCATTTTCCTTCTTTCCTTACATTTTTTCCCTCTGAGATAAGAATTTGAGGAAGGCCCTAAAAATGAATGTACTCACCAAGTTCATTCTAGTAGCTATTATTATTTTTATTATTAGTTATTAACAGTATGCAAAGTCTCTGGTTCAGAGGAGACATTCAAAGACTATAAAATAAGACAAAAATCATTTGAAAACCAACCAAGACATTTGCATGAACTCTAGGGCAGAAGGAAAATCTGCATGATCTTCAGGGGATTAGCAATGGGTAAGAAAGAATAGGTGCAGAGTAAATGTATGAATGAAAATGTCCAGAAATCCATTGAGGCAGTGACAAAAATGGTGAGATGCTGAATCCTCTAATGATTCCTTTTCTCCTTCCTTTCTCAAGTGCTGCTTAAGTAGAGCTGAAGCCAGACGGGATGCAGCTAAAGTGGCCCTAATCAACTCGCTCTTCAATGAGCTGCCCTCTCGAAGGATCACTAAGGAATTCATTATGGAGAGTGTGCAGGAAGCAGTTGCCTCCACCAGTGTGAGTACCCACTAGGGTAGAAAGCTGGATGCACTGAGACACCAAGGCAGTTGAATCTGGGGAAATACTAGAGTGAGCAAATTCTTTGAGGATTGTGCAAGTTTGGGAAGACTGGCTGGCTTGGTCGTGAGTTTCAGCCTCACACTGGGCAGAGAGTTTACTTTAAAAAAAAAAAAAAGAATTGTGCAGGTTTAATTTTTACCCATGAAATCATTGATTTTCAACAAAATGAACACTTGGATTGGAAATCAAGAAACTGGAGCTGGTTCCCTATGCCACATCTCAGAAATATTTTTTAGCTGCCCTGGATGACCATTAATCAAATTTTAAATCAAAGTAGATAATTTGATCCATCCTGATTTGTTTATTTGAATGTTTGCTGTTTGAAAAATATTGATACTTTTAGGGCCTGGGAATGTATGTAATTGAATACTGCTTTAATCTAGAGATAAACTAGCTCATTTTTTCCCCAAACTTGACTAGTCATAAAAATTATCCTAAGTGCTTATTAAAAGTGCCAATTCCCCAACCAGTGTGGGGGTCCAGCAGTCTGTATTTTTAAAGAAAGGCTGACTGCTTAGACATGGAAAAGCCATATGCCCAATATCTGTTAGCTCTTAGAATTATCATACTCAATTCTTTCAGAAAGCTGAAAATTTTTTTTCAGAGAAAATTTCTGTTAATGGACACAATTAATGCAAAGTGCTTTAGAGCAAAAACTCTTGTCTTAGAAATTTAGGTAGAATACTTTCTCAGCAATCTAGGAGTAGATAATTTGCCTCATGAGTTATTTAGAACATCTGATACTTGATACCTACCGACTACAAACAATGGAGGAAGCCTTGGTTTCCCACTGGGGCAGGTATCTCCCTGTGTGTCCTCCAAAGGCAGAAACTTGGCATTACTGAGGGCATTAGCCACTTCCTGGCTTTGCGTTTAGCACAGATAAACCCCATCTGAGATTTACATTCTCTCATCACCTTAATCTGATTATAAAGGTTCTGTCATTTTAGAGAAGCTGCTGAAAATGAAGGACACATTATCACACTAGCGTGACCCTTTTGTTCCTTTTCTTGTCACCCACAGAAGAGTTAAGAGAAGGGGCAGGGGACAGAGAGAGGCTGACCTGGGAGGAGACATTGGGGAGCTCTGGTCTGTATCTGCTGTCAGGATGAAAGGAAGCTTTTATTTTCGTGACTTGTAAATTTCAAGGGCCTTTGAGGAAGAGAAGTTAGGAAAATGATGCCTGATTTATATGTGTGGAATTTACTCAGGAGCAAGGAGGGGCCCTCAGTGTAAATGTAATTTATCATTTTTTCATGGAACTTTCTAAGGAAAGAGAATATATAAGGTTTGCAGGCTTCTGGATGGATTTCCTCTGGGATATTTAAAAAGCCAACATAAATATTTCAGCAGCAGCATGTTAATGTTATTGCATTCAGAAGCTATAAATTGGCTGCTATCGGATGCTGGCAGTTGTTTGTTCAGCCTCACAAAGGCATTGCCCACCTTCCCAGAAATCTGAGGCCCTGGGATCCTGCAGGGTAGGCCCCAGTGCCAGTCCAGCACTTGTGTTAGCTTTTTTTTTTACTGCCACTACCCCTAACCAAATTGAAGGTCAATTTCATTTCTATTCATCACCCCACACACCTTGTTTCCTAAAGATTAAGTAGTCTGGAAGTGAAAAAAACACACACCAAGATCTATGTCTCCAGGTCAAACACCAGCATATTATAAAAAGCTCCCATTAAGAATCAGGGCAGTAGGGGAGGGGGGTGAGAGGATGGGTTAGCCTGGTGATGGGTATTAAAGAGGGCACGTATTGAATGGAGCACTGGGTGTTATACGCAAACAATGAATCATGGAACACTACATCAAAAACTAATGATGTAATGTATGATTAACATAACATCATAATAAAAAAATAATAATAAAAAAATAAAAATAAACAAAAAAAGAATCAGGGCAGTAAAATATGAATGGTCCAAACAACCAGAGAATTCTTTCCCTGTCAATGATATAATCTTGCCTGGGTACCATCAAATCAGAACAAGGTCAGCATTTTAGGATTTCAAATGACAGTTGAAGGCAACCTTCCAGAGGGCAACCACTCAAACATTACCACCATCTAACAGCAAAAACTTTGTGCAAAGATACAGAAATTTCTACTTTGGGAAAATTATTCTTTTAGCAAATATATAATCAGTTAACATTCGAATGAATGTTCAAATTGATTACAAAAATCCTCTTTATTCTGAGTCATGGTGAGATTAAGAATTTTATCCCAAACCAACTGGAGCCTTGGTTGTAGAATGTACACCCGAAGGCTCAATATAATAGAAGTTTTACTGTAGGGCCACAGCATTAATTCGTGGCCACAAAAGAAGGGGAAGGAAAAATCCATATTTTCCTTTTCTGCTTTCTTCCCAAGGGCACTTTGGATGATGCAGATGACCCCAGCACCAGCATTGGAGCCTACCACTACATGTTGGAGTCAAACATGGGGAAGACCATGCTGGAATTTCAGGTACCTGACTTCTTGCTATGTGTTTATTTTGGTACACAAATCAGAAACCCGGGAGAATGCCACTCTTATCATTAACATCTCCTGTCCCAATAATCTAGTCTTTTTTTGTTTTTGTCATTTTAATTTAACTCTCTTCGAATCCAGCATGATAGCTCTGTCTAAGCCATGCCTCAGGAGACTAAAACAAACAAGGCAGTCTTTGCTTTCTTAAAGCGGAGTAAAACCCTTAAGTCTAAGAAACAGCTGGGGAACACCACCATCTGAAGATCTGTAACATTTCACCAGCTTTTCAGTACAAAGTTCCCTTTTAAGTCAAATTAAACAGTTTGAAGTGTTGGTTGTGACCATTTGGTTCTTAATTACCCAAAGACATAGAAGAAGTTATCTGTAATGTATATTAAACAATGCCCCCCCGCAGTTCTGGTATTTCCATTAAACAAGATCTGCCACCACCCATTGTTAACTAGATCAGAACATTCAGCAAACTGTAACCCAGTTTCATCCACTGCTGACAAGCGATATTAATAGAGCTGAGGAACTACACTACCTATTATTTGCAAATTAAATAACTACCTTAATAACATTAACAATAAGAATAATAATAGCTGACACTGATTGGATGCTGACACTGTGCTTGCTGTGCTAAGCATTTAACAAATATCATAGCTTAACACTCACGATAAACATGAGTGTTTACTATCCCCACATCATCATGTAGGAAGTGTGCCATATAGCTTAGTCAGTTGCAGAGCAAGACCCACACAGTCTGATTTCTGAGCTCACACCCCCAACTGTTATCTTTTATGGGCTGGGCAGATGAAAGTTCAGTAGTGATTGGGCATGAAATGTGTGCCCTCTAAAAAAACTAACCTTGAATGTTGAATATCCATATTTATACAATGCTAGTAGGAATCAATACACAGTGTTATAATGAAGAGACTCTGCCCCCAGTATTTCTATTGCTTTAGGTTAAATTCCCAGAAGCCATCAGAGATATAGTTTTATGGACCAAAGTGTTCATCACGGTGTATTTACAACACTTTTCATCTGAGCCCTGAAGCCACCAGCTTTCAACTACCTTTCCAACTGTTTTCTAGACTGCAATGGCATACAGCCACTTTGCAGGTGGATACATCCCTCCTGTCCATTTTTTAAAAAATCAGTATTTTCCCAAATCATTAGTCCCTTGTTTGACTGAAAGAAAAATACTCTCTCTTCATTTGGTCATTGAGTTTTCTTTTAAGTGGCAGGTCTCACTGACTTCTGATGTTGATTGCCTTGGGTTTGAAGAGACCAGGTATCCCTAAAGCCTACCCTCTGGAATAAACAGAGACATGCATGAGTTCAGTGATTCCGAGCCCAGACTCTGAAGTGGGCTGGTCCAGGTTAGCTTGGCTCTACTTTTCACCTCTACATCTGTTTCCTCGTGATATGTAAACTAGGGAGACGAATAGCACTGGTGCCACCTCCCAGTGCCAGTGTGAGCATTAAACGGGACAATAACTGAGAGAGTCCAGAACAGCTCCTGGCATATGGTAAATACTCACTGACGACTGACAGCTGTTATTATACATACTTCTGCAGAAGGACAGCTTCGCTTGAAATGCCGAAGACTACCACATGGATTCCTTTGACAACTTTATCTAACTTAAAGTTTTCAAATGAGAACAAGGCAACTCCCTGCAAACCTTTCAGGGGTCTTGCTGTAGAATAAAAAAGTGGAACTATAAAGGGTCCATGCTTTTCCCCCATAGTGATCTAAAGTCAAACAGAAAAAAACAAAAGGGAGGAGCATAACACAAGGAAAGAAGACCGGTTTTTAAAAACTGAACAGAACTATGTGTGAAACCTGCTCTACCACTTCCTGCCTGGGCATGTAATTATCTGAGACTCAGTCTTCTCATCTGTAAAATAAGAATCATAATGCCCATTGGGTAGGATTTTTGTGGAATTTACATAACATGACATTTATAAAGTATCTAGTATAGTAATTTCCCCAAGGAAGAACCCCATTTATTTTAATTCCTCCCCTCTCAACCCCAACAAAAGAATATTGTACTTTTCTTATTATAAAATGAATGTTGCCTGCCATGGTACATAGCAGCTTGTATGTGATTTAGCAGCTATTTTCAGAAATTAAGAATGATTTTGAATTCAGTTGAGTTAGTCTGCCAAAGATAGGGAAGGCAAGATTAAAAAACAATTCTTAAAATTTTGTCCAAGTACTATGAATGGCTGTACTCAACCACCTTTTAGTAATTCTTAATTACCTTGTGATGGACTGTATGTTTTCTGTGTGGTCTGTTGTATTTAAATATGTGAAATAATAACTTGAATCAAACTGTGGAAATGCTTCATAAATTCTCATAAAAGAGGCTGGGAGCAGGATGGGGGACACAGAAAGAGGAAGATGTGAGGGCAGGAAAAATCCAAACTCACTCCCCCAGTAGGGATGCTGGCAACCCAGGAGGAGGGCCATAGAGCACATCCCTTTTCCTTCTGCCAGTTCAAGGTTGCCTGCTGGGTCCCAGCACATTCCTTGGTGGCCGGGGTTAAAAGCATCAGCTTGTTTCTGCATGTAATGGGAATTGACCACAGACCCGGGCTGTTTGCAGCCGACACAGCAATTCAGTACCCCTGGTGGGTAATAGATTGTGTCTGTATCTAGCTACGGATGACTATACCATATAAAAACAAGGCTGGTGTCTCCTGACTGCCTGCAGGCTTTCCAGGGGGGCTGTCAAGGAGGCAGCACTCAGAGGAAACATGATAGGCTTCTGCTTACGTTTACTTCGTGGGAGGGAAGCAGAGTAGCCTTGCCATACAGAAAACTGCCTGATGTTTGGGGGGGAGGGATGGCGACAGCACTAGCCACTGGGTCTTGTCAAGGTCAGATCTGAGATGGACTTTGACTGAAGCTGGTTAATATATTTATTCTGAAGACTAATGCAGTCCAAGGACGAGTTGTTTATTTACATCTTTGCTAAATTCTCCAGGTCGCCTTTTAAAACCTCATCCCATAAACAAATTTCCTCTTAAATCCATTCTCTTGGGTAGGGAGATGGTGCCCACCTGTTTTTCAAGTTCTCCATTTACAGTGTTTGTTTTTCTTATTTCTGATGAATCACAGAACCAAGCGAGTCTCCCAGACAAAGTTCCAGAGAGAAGCAGAGTGCATTTTCTCCCCAAGAAGTAGCTGAAAGGGCAAACATTATTCCTAATAGGAGGCAACACCAGGAAGCACTGTGAGGATAGAGCCCAGCTGTTGCTGGTTTAAACTGAATGAATGACAAATTGAACCAGGAAAGCTGTAGGATGAAAGCTACAACTTGCAGAAATCACAGGGCTTGCTTCTCCATTTGATTTCAAATTTATTTTATGATCAGGACTGGCCACATAATTCTTGGGGCCCATACAAAATGAAAATGCAGGGCCTTTTGTGAAAAAATTACTAAGAATTTCAAGTCAGCGGAGTATGAAATCAAGCTTGGGGTCCTGTGTGACTGCACACGTCACAAGTTCGTGAGGCCGGCATTGTCCCTGAGACAGACTCACCAGAAGGGACCAGACTAGGGTAAGGAGAGTTAGGCCTTAACCTCAGGCACAAAATTTAAAGGAGTGTTAAAAAACTCAGTGATCAAGACAATATTATAATGCACTATTTTAAAAACTCAAAATGAATGTGAAAAAATTGGTAACAAACAAAATATCAAAATTTTAAAGACAGAATTTTTTTAAAGATTTTATTTATTTGAGAGACAGAGCACAAGTGGGGTGTAGGGGCAGAGGGAGAAGCAGGGTCCCCACTGAGCAGGGAGCCTGACATGGGGCTCGATCCCAGGACCCTGGGATCATGACCTGAGCTGAAGGCAGACGCCTAACTGACTGAGCCAGCCAGGCGCCCCTAAAGACAGAATTTTAAATAAAAGAACCTGAACTTTCATGACTCACCTTAAATCTTGCTTCACGCACCTCACCCTAGTCCCAACCCAACCTATAGGCCAGCTTCTTGTTTATCTGTCAAGCCTACCAAAATTCCCTGGGGTTCTACATCAGCCACATAACAACACAGCACAAAGACTTGAATGAGGAGCAGGACAGATAGCTCACCAAACAGATTTCCTTTAAAGTGATAAGCTTTGACAGATAGAAAACAGAACTGTGAAAACCAGGCAGCAAGGAATCTTGGTGAAACTAGGAAATCCTTACTGAAGTCCACAACCCTCTCCTTGCCAGTCTACAATAATGCAAGGATTTCCGATGGAATCAATGAGAGCCATACAAGGATTTCATGGGCTCATACAGCTTCGGGAAGATCTGAGGATACTGAATTTGGTCTTATGACGGGAAATAAAGAAGTGGGACAGGAAGAATGTGGAAATATTTCAATATACGTTACATAGTGATGGTAAGATTAGTATCTCTACAGAGGAGGGCAAGAACTAGATTGGGACATAATGTACGAAGGCAGAAAGAAGGTCATTTTCCCTGTGGGATTTTAGGAACAAGAACAACACTGAGGAAGAGGCAGTTGTGTTACAGCAAAAACTCCTTGGGGATGGAATAGAAATTTAGGCAAACCAGAAGAGGTGTGGGGGATGACTCTCAGGCAGTCAAAAACAGTTCAAGTCTCTGTGGGGAAGTTTTTGAGAGATGTAGGTTGCCAAGGGACACGAGAATGGTTTCTGGCTCTGTTCACAGCAGAATTGTGGGTTCTAAAGTCTTAGGAAGATTGCTGGGTAGAATGATGGGAGTTTATCTGGAAGGGGGGCAATGGTTAGTATATAAATAAGAATGAGAGCTTAGAAGACACTGGAGGAAGAATATGTTACCAAGGCACTAATTGTCAGAGGAGGGAATTAAGAGCCCTATAGGCTGTTTCTCCAACTGGGCCACAAGGATACAAGGACAATACCAAGAGGGCTCTTGAAAGTCACACAAGAACTCAGTATATCTTTCTGGGTTATACCGAGTTTAACCATTATAAACTTGGGTTGGGGGAAGGTGGAGGACTGGAGGTGGTATTTATTATTTTTAAAAATGGACATATACAATCGAATGCAAAATTCAAGTGGAGTCTTAAAACATTAAACGAAAAGAAATGTCTCATTTGGAAATAGTGGCCATTCTGTAACACCACAGACTGTTCCCTATCCAGGACATAAAAAGTGTTCCTTTTCATTTTTCTGGCTAAAAAGTCTTTAGTGAGTAGGTTAAAGGTACAGTGAAAAAGGCAGCACAGATTTACCCTCCTCAGTCACTGGGGTTACTTTGATGAGAAGTACAGGGGTGAGAAGCAGATTACTTAAGATTGGGCCATAGAACTAACCACTCTCACTTTTCCAGATTATCATAGTGATGTGACAGAGTGCAAATCTGGACAGGGCAGAGAGAAGTGGAGGACAGAGGGCATGAGAGGGACGGCTTCCCTGGGCAGTGGGCTCAGGACCCAAAGCAGATGGTGGCATCTCTGTTTGGGGCAGGAGGAGTAATTCCCCTGGTATCCATGTCATATTTTAATTAATGGAAACACATGTTTTGCTTTTACTGAGGTCTCTATGGGCTCTCGAGTGCTTACTGTACAGTAGAAAATAGACAAAATCCCCTACTGAAAAGAAGAAAAAAAAAAAACCATTACATTCTACTGGCAATTTCAGACATAAGAATGGTGATATTTGCTCTTCTGATCATCTTATAGCTTTAAAATTTACCTAATAATTTTAAGATGTCTGAAATATCAGAATGCCTTAGGTCTCCTCATTTTCATAATTTAAACTTTTCCCTGAGCAAGCAGAGGGAAAGGCAATAAAAATCAGTTTTTTTGAATGGTCAGTAGGACAACTGTCTAAATGTTTCGTTTTCATAACTAGTGTCATGACCAAAAATTTCCTTAATTTCCTTAATTGTATTGTGTCTATGTGGTTTGTACTGTTAAGCCACGATAGGTGTTTCTCTGACGAAAAAAGAAAAAAAAAATGCAGGTAGCTTCAATGGAAGACTGCCACTTCTAATCACATTAGGAAAATAAAGTCTTCAGAGTTTATACAGTTTAGCTTGCCCTTGATAACATGAAGGGAAAGGATGCTGATAGAAGCTTAATGCCGTGCTCAGCCCTGGCTATTGGATGTGGAAACTAGGGATTGGTTTCAATGTCAATTCAACCTGATTATCCATATTTTCAGGCATTTTCCTGACTGAATTTATGAACATAGGAGTATTTTACAGTTTCTGTAGTTTGTCCATTATATGTTATCTATATTTACTTTTTGGCTGAAATTTTTAAAAATTTAAATGGTTTTCTTTAATATATAATATTGTCACATGATTCAAAACTCCAAAAGTACAAAGGAATGTCAGTGGGTGGTCTCCCTCGCACTCCTGCCCCACAGGCATTCCTGTTCCCACCCCCAGGGACAACTTTGTTACCCAGTTCTTTTGTATCTTGCCAGAACTCTCATAGGCATTTACAAGCAAATATTTAGAGGGATTTTCTTTTCCTTTTTAATCAAATACTAGCACACAGTATATATGTTGTGCACCTTGCTTTTCTTTTAACACCACATCATAGAGATTCTTTATATTAGAACCTAGAGGGGGACGCCTGGGTGGCTCAGATGGTTAAGCATCTACCTTCGGCTCAGGTGATGATCCTAGGGTCCTGGGATCGAGCCCCGCATCGGGCTCCCTGCTCCGCGGGAAGCCTGCTTCTCCCTCTCCCACTCCCCCTGCTTGTGTTCCCTCTCTCGCTGTGTATCTCTCTGTCAAATAAACAAAATCTTAAAAAAAAAAAAAAAAAAGAACGTAGAGAGCCTTCTCTTTCATACTTCTCTATGAATGAAAGTATTCAGTGGTATGAATGTATTGTAGGGGAGGAAAAATAATTTTCCCTCTATGCTTCTGAGTTCTTAGCTGAGACCCCTGTAATGAGAGACAGATTAATAAGAGGAAAACAGAACTTTATTAACACATATACCTCAGGTATACATGAGAGATACTCAGGGGAAAATATTATCTTTCTGAGGTGGCTTGGAATTTAGGATCAAATACCCTCATAATAGGGAAAGAGGGAGGGGGAAAGCCTCTTAGGGGATAGAAATGATTCTTAAGAAAGATGAATGGGCCCTTAGAAGAATAGATGGGAGGTATGTTAGTCTGTGTCTTCTTCTGTGATGAGTCAATCTTCCCTAGTTGATGAAATTCCTCAGGAAAGGATTTATCATAATTGGTTCCTTTTGGAAGATGTGTCTTTAGGCAGATAAGGGGAGTTCAGAGAAACAGAATTTGCTGTTTTTCCTTCCATTTGCTGTTTTTCAAGTGCTTACAGCCTAAAATAATTAATATACCAAAGTGGCATGTTTTCAGGGTGGCATGTCCTGAACTCATATTTTGGAGGCAGCAAATTCTACTATTCAGTATCATCCTTTTTTAAACTATTTCTTTAAAAATGAGCATTTAAGGAGTGCCTGGGTGAGCTCGGTCAGCTAAGCATCTGACTCAGTTTTTGGCCCAGTTCATGATCTCATGGGTGGTGAGATGGAGCCTTACATTGGGCTCCGTGCTCCCTGGGGAGTCAGCTTGAAAATTCTCTCCCTCTGCCCCTCCCCCCACTCACACACACTCTCTAATGAATAAAGGCAGATGCTTAACCAACTGAGCCACCCAGGTGCCCCTAAAAAAATTTTTTAACAATGTCTACCTCAAGTTGACACCATCTAATTAGATGCAGAAACTGGAGTCAGCTGGGAAAATAGTAAATTTATTTTCCACCCTACAATCAGAAATTGCACCATTCTGTAAACTAAAAGCAGAGATTCTCCTTTGGCCAAAGGCAGTTTTTCCCCAGCCGGTCAAAACTGCCCACTCTTCCTGGAATGGCATGGAACCTACAGCAAAAGCAACAAAAATCAGAATCTTTGCTGTTGCTGAGCCCTTTGATGCTCATTTATAGCAAATCAATGTCAGCTAAGATATAAGTTACATCAGTCAATACCTGTCAGTACATCACTTAAACATTTATAATTCCAGACCCAATAAAAGCCAGGTTGAAAAGCAAAGTAGATTATTACTATTTTTCCTTTTCTGTATCTTGTTCTCAGTGACATACTGTGTTAAAGAGGATTACAGTAGAGGATTTTCTATTTAAATAAATAAATCCTTAAAAAATAAAAATAAGCATTTAAAATATTTCCAGCCTCAGGCAATTTAAAAAAAAAAACAGTACAATGAATAACTTTACCTATACATTATTCTGAGATGTGCTGATATTTTTAGATAACCTCTTGGGTGTAGAATTGTTAGAGCATATGTATTGGTATTATTTTACTTTTTATTTATTTATTAATTTTGTTTTTTGGAGAGTGGTGAGGGGAGTTAGAGGAAAAGAAGGAAGAGAGAGAATCTTAAGCAGGATCCATGCCCAGTGCAAGCCCAATGCAGAGCTCAATCTCACAACCCTGAGATCAAGACCTGAGCCAAAATCAAGAGTACGACACTTAACTAACTGAGCCACCCAGGCACCCCAAGCATATGTACTTTTAATGTTGAAAGATATTTGTCAACTACTTAGTCATTTTATTGTGCAAATATGTATTAACAGAGGAGGGAAGGAAGAATGCTCCAGAAGCTTGGGGACTCTGGTGTTTGAAAAGTCTCAAAGTGTTCTGATGATATTGTATATTCTATTTCCCTGAGATAGTTGGGGGTCAGAGCTGTGCCCTACCCAGCTTTCACACTTTCTTTCACACTTCTGCTCTGAGAGTAATGACAGATGTTTGGGTTTTGTAGGAGCTGATGACCATTTTCCAACTATTGCACTGGAATGGAAGCCTAAAAGCCCTACGTGAAACAAAGTGTTCCCGACAGGTGAGATTTTCCAGTCAATAATGGGTTTGTGTCGTATGAACTGAACAGATGGCTTGTCATCTTCCTAGATTTCCTTTATTTGGATTTTTCTGTTTAAATCTGGTACTTTATCTATTAAGAGCAGAGGATATATGAAAAAATATATGTAACAGTCCACTTGAGTCAGGGACTGATCAAATATGCACACTAAGGAGAACACTGCCTGCACATAGGACTGATTTAGATACCTGTACTAAATGCCAAAATGGAGGGATCATTAAAACAGACTTGGTTTCTAAGTCAAATGCTGAATCTCCCTATGCACCTGCCCTGCCTTAGAATTTGTGCCCTCTTCTACTCTCCAGTGCAGAAAGAAATTTGAGAATGCACTGCTTCTGAACCTCCTCACTGAAGAGTGGTAAAGTTGGTTGTAGCAGGAGGATTTTTCTCACCCCCACCAAAAGTCCCCAGAGGACAACAGAAATGATTATAAATTTGGGCAAGCTGGTATTCAATCACCCCAATTTTGGGGGTTGGAAGTTTCCTCTTTATTTTTCGGAAATGAGGTCTCACTATTTCTTTGTTACCTATGAGAAGCACCGTTCCCCCTTTTTTTAATAGCAAAAGCAAATTCCCTCCACTGTCTTTAACAGTTTTCACCTTCTATCCTCCAAGAGTCATCCTTCCTTTTTGCACCAGTAGACTTTGAAAGATGGCCGTTTATTTTTGAGAATTTACTAACAGGAATTTGTATGAGGAATAAAGCCTCTACCAGTCAGCTAGATGTGGGTGGATATAAGAGTTTTCCATGCACTGCAGCCCAGGAGTTTTTAGTTGTTCTTTGGTTAGAAAGTCTGGCTTTCAAAATGTCAAAGATGGAAAAGAAATGAGTAGTTGACAATGGCTACGGCTATTTTTTTCTTTTCCTTTGATTTTATAAAAGGCCTTTGAAATTCACTGGGTTGGTTATAAACACTTTTCCATGGTTGTTTTTAATTTGTTAAGGTCATAAATAAATACCATATGTTCTTGAAAATAAAAATAAGCAATGCATCCACTCTACAAGATCTTCTTAAAGTGTATCCATCAAACCTATACATGATGTTACAATGTATTGGCAAATTTTTCACATGAGAATTGACAGTGATTAATTTCGAATTATTTACAGAAGAGACGATGTACATGAATGAAGGTACCATTATAATATCAATAATGATAATGCCTACAATCCACAGTACAATCTTAAAGTTCTTTCTGTAGTTTCTGTGAGCCATTTGGACTGCCATCTATCTTCCTTATGCTAACAACACAGCAGTTAGGAAGTTGACTCTCCTGGTTTCTAAGCCTCCTGCTCTCTGCAGTGGGTGTGACCAAACCCAATTCTGCCCTAATCCTTCCATATAATTGTTTCTGTCTCTCAACCTTGCTGAAGGAGATAATGCTGGGCAGAAGAGTTCAAGGAATCAAGGAGGCAGTAATATTCATGGATAAAGTGATGCATTTTCAAAGGAAGGCATTTTCTAGCAAGGTCAGAGTTCTGTTTGTGAACATTATTGAGTCATTCTTGGTGGTAGTGTTTTGACACAACCTGAAGTGACCCTGCTTTGCCCGACCAGCTTAGTCCTTCATTTGCTTTAAGAAGTGTATCTTGAGATTTGGCTTCCATTTGTGAATATCAGAGAGGTTCAGTTGTTGGCAAAACCCCTATGGATGTGGGTGTGGGGGGTGTCAGAGACAAAGGAAATGAGGTTTTGGAAGGCCATGAACACAGGTGCCTTTGTTGCTCTTCACTGACACTCTGGACTTTGTCTCTTGGCTCCCAGGAAGTCATCTCCTACTATTCCCAGTATTCCCTAGATGAAAAGATGCGCAGTCACATGGCCCTGGACTGGATCATGAAGGAGAAGGAGTCACCAGGAATCCTCTCTCAAGAGCTACGGATGGCCCTGAGGGAGTTGGAGGAAGCCAGGAAAGCGGGACAAGAACTGCGGTTTTACAAAGAAAAGAAAGAAATTCTGAGTTTAGCCCTGACTCAGATCTACAGTGATCCTGACACCTCCTCACTCAGTGATGATCAGCTGAGCCTAACAGCTCTCTGTGGCTACCACTAGCAAGGCCAGGTCCCGGCTGCCCCGAGGTTGGCAGAGGCTGGACTCTATAGGAAGCTCAGTGAAGGAGGTCATCAGAGGCTTTAGCACCTACAGCTACTACCTGAAGGCTGTACTAATTTTTCCCATCCATTCCATTCACAGAATCTGAGAGTAGTAGGACCTTTACAGGACCCAGCATTCCACTCGATGCAATTTTCCCATCATGCTTTCAAGAGTTCCACCTCTTACTGAAAGGATGGAGACAAGATTGTTGGAAAAATATTTTCCAGGTTTGGCTTCAACTTAAAGCCCTGTTGACATGTGCCTTGCTAGATTATATGTGTTGTTTTAAACAATGGGCCAGTGTAGCATCCCCCAAAAGGACATCAGCCAAGACTGGTGAAAGTAGCATGATAGCAATTTTTAAAAATACTTGGGGTTAAATAAATGAGATAAAAAATACCATGGGTCAGAGTTTCTTCCTAAGCTTTATAAGCTAAGAGGTACTTATACTCTACGGGGTATAATCCAAAATTACAGTGGGGATTTTATCTGGATATCCTACTATCAAAGATCATAAAGTGATAATAGTATGAAAATAACTTGATAAATTTAATTTGCCTTAAAATGCCAGTAATAATCATTTTTTTAAATCTATACTCTTCCATCTGGGGATGTCACCTAGAGTAGTACCTTCACTTGTATTCCTCAAGAAGAATTAATATCTAATTTTTATGAGTCCTGGAGTCAGTCATGTTCATTTATAATTTTCAAATAGATTACTTGAATTGATTTGTTTTTATTTTTGCCACCAGAGTCATATATCTATAACAGAGAAAATTACTGGCATTCTAAAGGTTAAAGCATTTTGAAAAATCATTAGCTTTTAACAGTGCTTGTGTTTGATTAGTTTCTCATGCGTTAGAGAGGAGTCTTTAGCTGTCTTTTTGTTGTTGTTCAAGAATATGAGCCATGAGTAGCTCAAATGTAGTGTCATTTTTAGGTTTTAATTAGGCATCTCTCTTTGAAAATGGCTTGATTAGAAAACCAAAAGCAAATACAGACCAATTTTTGGATAGTTTCTGGTCGCTCAAGTTTAAGAATGGCAGTGGTATCAATTTTAAACATTTGTAGGAATTTCCATATTTATAACATGAAAAGGATTATCTTGCATTTAGTCCAAAATTTCAAAATAAAGAACACAGTTTTTTCAACGTTAAACAAGGTTTCTTTTTCTTCATGTTTAGGCAAATGCAAACTAAGTTTCCTGAAGGCTAAAACCACTATATTTACATTAAAATTTACAGAAGTGTGATAGTTTAACTTCATATCTAAATATGTACAGACGTAATTGTCACTCCTTAAGTCTCCGTGAAAACTATGTATATTGATCATGTATTTTGGAAGTAGCCTTGATAATAAAAAATTAATTTCATATGTCATATTTCTCATACCAGGGGAGAATTTAGCTTCATATCTGCCCTACTCTAATGTGGAAAGGTAATACTATATAATATTAGATAAATTTAATTTTAAAATATTATTTTAACAAATGTCATATTCCTCCCCATAGTGAGGCTAAATGTCACCTAGAATAAAACTGTATTCCCTTATAATCCCAAAAAGGAATTAGAATTAATATTTGTAAGTTGAATAAATTTTAAAATTAAGGAAACTTTCTATTTAAAGTAATTTTTTCATAAAGTCATTAGTCTTTATCATTTCAAAAAGCCATAATTTCCCATGTTGGGTGTATTTAAAGGTAGGTATATCTTTGCTAGCATTTGCAGACTTTGACAATGTGCACCTCAAGTTGACATCATCTAATTAGATGCAGGAACTAGAATCAGCTGGGAAAATAGTAAATTTATTTTCCACCTTACAATCAGAAAATTGCACCATTCTGTAAACTAAAAGCAGAGATTCTCCCTTGGCCAAAGGCAGTTTTTCCCCAGCCGGTCAAAACTGCCCACTCTTCCTGGAATGGCATGGAACCTACAGCAAAAGCAACAAAAATCAGAATCTTTGCCGTTGCTGAGCCCTTTGATGCTCATTTATAGCAAATCAATGTCAGCTAAGACATAAGGTACATCAGTCAATACCTGTCAGTACATCACTTAAACATTTATAATTCCGGACCCAATAAAAGCCAGGTTGAAAAGCAAAGTAGATTATTACTATTTTTCCTTTTCTGTATCTTGTTCTCAGTGACATACTGTATTAAAGAGGATTGCAGTGGAGGATTCTCTATTTAAATATATGGAGCTCTGGGTCCTAAACTTTTGTGGTTATAACCCCTTTGAGAATCCGATGAAAGTCATGGACCTCTTCGTAGGAAAACAGAGTGTGGTAGATACATTCAAATTTGCACAGTTTCAGAGAGTTTGTGGACTTTTCCAAAGTCCATGGATTGCTCTGTCCAAGAATCTCCAGTTTAGAACTCTTAATTTTGAGCATAGACTTACTGTCTCTTAAACTTTTCAGCAGGGATCCAAGCTAGTTCAGACATAGTCCCATGTAGCCTATTTCTAAGATAAATGTCATTTTCCTTACATACAGAATTGTACTGTATCTTGACAAGAGATAGTTTAATTTTCACAAAATCCAAATATACCAAATTATTATGAAAAAGCAGCTGAAAGCAAGTCACTAAATGTGTGTGAACCTATCAGAATATTACCGATTTAATGAAGTCATTGTTCCTCTAATGATCAGAATTTGGTTGTCCATTTGTTCAAAAGCTATAGTCTACTGATATGTTTTCTGTTAAATTCATTCACTTACCTCTACAAAAGGAGAAGAATAAAATCACAAATATTCTTGAAATGCTGTACCCACATCAACTTTGAATCTGATTACTTATGTCTCAGGGAAAAGAGGAAAAAAGCATATAAAGATTAACATTTCCCTGTTTCTTTGGGGGAGACTTTTGAAGCTAGCAGTATTGGTGTAGTTGACTTTATCTCTGAAATGCTTTAGAGAATTCTGAGTTATATCATGCCATGCCTTTCTTTCTTGCCAAAGGACAGAAGAAGCCAAAGAATATTTTCATTATCCTTGACTATGTTTACAGGTAAACACTATTCAAGATATTATCACTTACATATTGTTGATACTTTTTTGTTTTGCCTTGCAGAAATGCAAATATTAAGTTTTCTTCTATGGCGTCTATGGTGTTAAAGAGTGAATACCGTTTTTAGCCAGGGCTCTTAGGAACATGAAAATCATTTTCTCTACCACAGTGGTTCTCAACTTTGGCTGCACATTAGAAATAATTAAGGAGCTTTAAAAAATCCTAAATGTCTAGACTATACCCAGACCAATGAAATCAAACTCTCTGGAAGTGGGGCCCTGGCATCAGTATTTTTTAAAACTCCCCAGGTCGTTTCAACGTGCAACAAGGTTTGAGAATGACTGCTCTATCCAGGAAGGTCTGGCCCAAAGGTCCTTGGCCTAACTAGTGGGAGCTATTACTCCACTTGGCCTTGGCCCCAATTCAAATGTTGAGCTCCTCTGAGCTAGGTAGGACCTGTTTGAGCAACAGGCTTTCCTGCAGCCCAGAACTAAAGCAGGGCAAGCACATGCACGCACACACACACACACACACACACACACACACACACACACACTGTATCTTAGCAGTATAGCCAGATTCTGCCCCAGGGTTCAGGCTTTCTTTCTCACATATGATACATAAAATATCCATACCAGAATCATCTGGGGTACTCATTTAAAAATAAAAGTTCCTGGGTCACACCCAGACCTGCTGACCAAATTACTGGAGAAGGTCTGGATAAACCTTACCACTTTACCAGGTGTTTCTGATCAAACTTAAATTTGAGCTCTTTTGGCCTAAAGCAACCTAACATGTTCTTTAGTGGGCAGCACAGCTCTGCCCCTTTGGATGTAACCAGCCTCCTGGGTTAAAGTGCAGAAAGGAATAAAGGAGAGAAGGGAATGTTGCCCCCTCTACACTTTCTGGAAGCTGGAGAAAAACAGAAGGGGCAAAGAGAGATGGCTGCCTTTTTTCTACCGAAAGAGCAGCTCCCACTCTTTTATCACTTTGGCCTTAACATTTGTTATTACTTTTAATCCCTTTACCAGAGACCATGGAAATCTCTTTTAGCTCCTGTTAAAGTCGCTTCTTTAAGCCTGACTAAACCCTGGTAGCACTTTGTACTTTGGAACAAAGTAAGTTGTGGGAAAGGCAAGCAGAAGCTTCTTCCTGAGAGCTGTTGGTCTGTTGATTCTCTAGTGGTTTGCAAGGGAAAATTGCGATATATATATATATATATATAATCTATTTATAATATAGATTTATATAATATATAATATCTATTTATAGCAGTTCCCAATTGTAGCAGCAATTATGTACCACAAATACATTTGTAAGTCAGATGTTCAACGCTGAGGGTGCATTTTTCTATAAAAGCAAAGTCATAAATGGTGGCAAGTTTCCTGAGCTAGCCTACATAAGCAGTAGGGCACCTCAAATATGGATCTATGGAACCTAACACATTCTTAGGTTGTGGGTGGGCAGGGGAAGGTAGAACAAGGTTAGCTGTGGGTCTAGGGTATAATATTGAAAACCTCCCGGGATGTATTTCTCAGCCCCAAACTGGTTCTCCAGTCTCTTTATTTTCTCTTTGCCCCCTCCCCCCATAGATTACCTTGCCAACACCCCACCCACTGCCATCATTTGTTGCATCTTCTGATCAAGGTTTCTTCCACTTGCTGACTTACTGAAGAAAAGGTAACTTTTTCCTGCCTTCTTACAAACTCTGAAAATTTCTAAGAGTTGGTATCACTAGAGAAACAGGAATATTTGTGTGACCTCCAAATGGCAGCTACTAAGCTTCTCTGCAGACTATTTTCACCAGGGCTGGTGAGGAAAGACACAGACACACAAAGCAGGACTACACTGAACAGGGTAGCCACGGAACCTGTCCCATGCACCCATACTCCTAAGGTTTCCTGCTTCTTTGGTGTTCTCATTGGGCTCCATGTGACACTTCCCCATCCTGATCACAGTTGCCCCATAACTAGCCAGTGATTCTGGGTAACCTGGCTCAAAACTCCAAACTGGACTGATCAGTCTCTCTCCTCAGGAATGTGAACTAAGAAACATGGAAGGAATTTGCCAGGTTGAGTTGGGAGAAGAAGCTGGAAGAGTCACCTTCATGAGAGTTGTGGTCTGTGCAAGCACAAGTAAGGAGGAAGAAGGAACCATGAGTCAGTAGAGGATGCTGCTCTGTAGAAAGAGGAGACGCTGACTAGTGCAGAGAGAGGCAGAGACGCAAGGAGAAGGTGAAAGCGTGAAGCCCATGAGGGGATGACAAGAGCTGCTGGCCCAAGTGCCCTGCAGTAAATTTTCTTATTTTTTATCTGAGTGGATCACATACCTTGCGACCAAAGAAATTGGACCTTACTCGTTCAGGGAAAAAAAGTCACGCTACATTATTCTGGATTTTTTTTATCCTCCGAGTAGAACCCCCCAAAAAAGAAAAAAAAAAAAACAAAAACCTGACATGAGGAAGAGCCTTTCAAGTGATAAAAATGCTGCTGAGAAAAGTAGATCTAAAGCTGGTGACAGAGTTGACTTTTCCCCACTCACTGCCCCTCCCATTCCAATGTCAGTTCTCATAGTGTTCAGGAATCCTTCCAATTCTGAAATAAATTTATGTATTATGTGCTAATCATCCTGCCCTTGCTCCCCTACATGGAAATTCCTGTGTTCTCATGTTCTTTGGAGGTATAACCACAGAAGGCAAACAGAACTCTATTTTTAAAAAGATAGAATTCATAACCTCAAATAACTGTTGTCTTCTTAAAAAATTAGTTACCTCAGGAAACTAATAACACGCTTTGACAATGCTCAAGAATGCAATCTTTGCCAAAGACATTCCAGTCATGAACTCGTCTTTGGAAATGGTCCTCTGAATTCATGTGAGCAAAGGAAGAAGAAAAGCAGTGTCTTGTTGGCTGAAAGCTCCGTGCCATCCTGAACCGACTAGTTTATCTTAGCATCTGGACTATTAGATCAAATACTTAGCAGGTGCTCAATGAATGTTTCTTCAGTAGAAATTTGTTATCAGTGTGTTGGTACCTTCCTTACTCCTTGATGATGAGTTAATTCATTCATCAGACCTGGCTTTGTTCTACTCAACTAGTCAGGACTTACATGGTTATAAGGTAGAAACCCAAAGCGAGCCTGCTAAGCAAAGGGGGAGTTTATTGGCTTGTGACACAAGAATGTTTGTTCCAGGTACATTTGTATCCAGAAACACAAACCAGGACTTGATCTCTCTCATCATATTGATGTGTACATATGTGCATACATGTGTATCATTGCTCATTTCTCAAATCAGCTTTCTTTTTGTGTTGGCTCCATTTTTAGGCAGGCTGTCTCCTTGGAGCAGCAAGATGGTGACCAGCAGTTTCATGCTTCCCTCATAACAGCAGAGGAAATTCTCTTCCCCGCAGTTCAAATCCAAATTCCAGAACTGAGTATAGTGGTGTTTTAGTTCAATCAATCACTGTGCCATTCCTGAGTCACATGTCTGTCCCCCTAAAACTAGTGGTCAATTCATCCCACCTAAACAATGTAGACTTAGTGGAGAAGGAGGAGTCACCTGAGGTAAATATGGGTTCAGTTACCCAAGTGAGGAAATGTGGCCATTTCCCAAGACATTTTAAAAATATTTGTCCTTGGGCGCCTGGGTGGCTCAGTTGGTTAAGCGACTGCCTTCGGCTCAGGTCATGATCCTGGAGTCCCTGGATCGAGTCCCGCATCGGGCTACCTGCTCAGCAGGGAGTCTGCTTCTCCCTCTCCCACTTCCCCCTCTTGTGCTCTCTCTCTCTCTCACTCTCTCTCTCAAATAAATAAATAAAATCTTTAAAAAAAAAAATATTTGTCCTTAAGAGGCTTCAGAGACAGAATGAACAATAGAAGAAATGCAGTCTCTCCAACCATTAATTGGGGAAAAGGAATCAGGGTAGACAAAAAATAACAGATGTCCACTATGAATACATTGTACCATTTCCAAAAATCAAATCCATCCTCAAAGGACAAATTTTGTCACCATTACAGATGTTCAAAAGAACATTCTCCCCTGAGGGGAAGTCTAAAACTGTTTCCAGACCAATCACGTCACTGGACTAAGCATACAAGTTCTCTGAGGGCTCGGCTGAAGGGGCCAGTGCTCATTTATATGTAAGAGTTCTGTCATGTGGAGAAGCCTAATCACTCACATTAATCTGCAGTCACACTTCATACATCTTCCGTGTTGATGAATCGTTGCTATGAAAGTGAGTTAGGAAATTTCCTCTAGTCTATTTCTGGTGGGCCCTGGCTTTCATTATCAGTGGCTGCTAACGCTACTTAACAGAAAAGAAAACAGTTGATGCCACCGATTGAAAACAGTTGTGGCAAAACTGGACAGTTCATAGCCTGGGTACTTTATTTGCCCTTACTTATGGCTGAGCACCTTGCAAGCTTAAGAATGGCTCCACGCTGACCCATGAGTTGTGACATAAAATGATTTTGGAAACAGTTTATTCTGAGGCAATCCATGGTGTTTCTTCCAGATATTCCCATGTTTCCATGTAGTGATTTGTTAGTTTATTTCTGGAAGTGAACAGGCTGTACTTAGTGCAAGCAGGTTTTTGTAGGGAAATCTTGAAAACACAGGTGACCCAATGAAATACCAGACCACCAGGAGAGTTGAAAAGTCAACCTGAAGCCATAATGAACTAAAACTAAAAAATGGGAGTGATTTTACCCTTTCAGTTAATCTTCTCTCAAATGACCTGGGAATTTTGTCTTATTTATTTATTCACTGTGGCTACTTAGATTTTTAAAAATGTTTTTTGGCTTTTTTTGTCCACGAGGCCACCAAAGCAAATAAATCCAAAAAATGGGAGAGGAGAGTTCAATTCTTCTAAAGGCTGAAATGGATTCTTTTATTTTCAATGATGACTCATATCAATATGTTTGTTAAAGATGAGGTCATTTACGTCGTGAATTAGAGTAAGGCAATCATACTGCCTTTCATCCAGAGTACTCTAACTGGGAATACGTTCGGCATCCCTTTTATTTTCTTCATGGAAATCCAAGGACAGTAGCTCCTTGCCCATTTTACCAGTCATCTGTGAAAAGCCAAGGGGGCTCAGCTCTCACTCTGCTGAAAAGAGGCTTCAGTAGGCTATGTCTCGCCACAAGGGCAACTTCGTCCCAGGCATTGCAGGTGTCACAAACGTTGACAGTAGGATTGGCAGGGTCTAAAATGAACGGCCTAAAACAAAACAAAACAAAACACAAAACTATCCACGTCTGAAATCAGTTTTGATTTGTTATATAGTGAGAAAAGGGGATGTCAGAGTTAAAGAAGGAAGGTGGTTAAGAAAAGGACTCTTGGAAGGGTGGAAGCAAGTCCACTGCAGGCTAATACCCATCAGGAGACAGCATCTTGCTTCTGCCCCCGCCCCCCCAACCCAACTCTGATGCCCTCTCATTTTTCCTCTTCACCTCCAGAGGCATTTCCTCCCTGATTTCCTGTCTTCAGTTTCCTCCCCGCTTTCCTGTCTTCAGTTTCCTCCCCATTTGCCGTGTGTATCCACAGTTGATTCATTCTACTCAAATTACTCATAATTCACACTTGAGAATTAAGGTTCTGTGAGAAGTAATCAAAGGGAATTGACTTTATGCTAATTAAGGCCTTCTCATTTACAGTGAACCACAATCAAGCTGTTTTTGCTCCAGACTTTTCTTTCTGGATGGCAAACATGCTTCCTCTATCCTAAGAGCATAGAAAAAGATAAATAGTTACCTTGTGTGTTTCTGGTTCACCTTTACAAAAATGGGGAACTTGGGATGGTAGTGTCTGTGCCAAACAACATCGATTTCTGCATATCGAACCAGAAGCTTGAGGACTGCCCTCATTCCCTGCACCAGGCTGAAGAGCAGCGGCTTTCCTGCCAGCTCCCAGATGTGAATGGTGAGGAGCTCCACTGTGTAAGAGGAGGGAAGTCTCCGGAACCTAGACACACAGGATGAAGTGTTGTCTACTTCCTTAACCCAGAAAATGAAGACAGATTTACTCAGGTAGGAGAAAAATTTCAGCCCAACAGGCAATTTACGGAAGAAGAAATTCTATTTTCAATCTTACTACTTATCAAACAATAATTTTCCACCCCTCAGATTGGCAAAATATAAAGAATTATAATATCCAACATGGGTGAGTTTGTGAGAAAATAGACAGTCTATTGGTGAAAAGGTAAATTAATACAGTCTTTTTTGTAAATTAATACAGTCAACTCTATACAAATTTGGTATGTTCCTTCCCTTTCATCAGCATTTTCCACTTCTATTCCTTCTGTAGAGAATGTAGCTAGTCTGACTTGAGCACACACTGAATTTTGAAGACTTATATTTTAAAAAAGGGAAAATATCCATTAATAATTTTTATATTGATTACATGTTGAAATGATAACATTTTGGACATAGTGGGCTAAATATATTATTAAAATTAATTTCATCTATTACATTTTACCCTTCTAGATATTGCTACCAGAATATCTAATAGCATATGTGGTTTGTATTTGAACCTCACATTATATTTGTCTTGAATGATTGCACTGTGCTGTACAGTTGTTAAAAGAAAGTAGATCTCTAAGATCTCTAGATACAGATATAAAAAGATATAGATTAAATGAAAAACAATTTTCATAGTGATACATAAAGTGCAAACCCATTTGTTCTTTGTTTTTTAAAAACTAAGCATACATAAAAAACAAATTTGGCAAAATATGTCCTAAACATTGTTAGGGAGGTGGGAATTTGGGGTAAAGAAGGAAAATTTTTATATATTAATCTTTTAAATTGCAGTTTATGTACATCAGGGAAAAACAAAATAAAAATTAAAGCTGAGGGTTAAAAACAAACTCATGGGAGAAAAAATAAACCAAATCAGATAGTTTCAGGATTTCATGTTGGTTGATATCTAATACGTATTTTTGTTGCCTCGGCATTCATTAGCCATAGCAATCTCTTTGGGGATATGTTGCAAAATCAAGCAGTTTTTTCCCTAACAGAATGAAAATATTTTTGTACTATCACTGTTGGTCATTTGTTTTTACTTAAGTAAAGGAAATAGGAAAAACTAAAAGTAGAAAAAATTTTTTGTCCCGGTAATGAAATAGCAAACCAGATTTCAGCTGATCAATAATTCAGTTCTTGCTATACTCCCTTAGGGGTTGACAACAACAAACACCAGACTTCAAATCCATCTCCAATTGAACGAGCTAATACTCCCATGTGCCAAAAGAAGCCATGGTTGAAAACCACTCAAGCAGGAGATGCTCTTCATATTCCATGAAAGTAAATGTAGGGGGGAGAAAGACATTTTACGGCATGTTTACATGGGTAGTTACATACCTCTGACACGTGTCCATACTATCTTGTGTTCTATTTGAGCCCTTTGACATCATTTCATTTAACCCTTTCCACGTGTTACGTGCTCCCAAATTTGTCTTGAATAATATTTCAGCATATCTGTGTGCAAGTTTGTTTGCTCTTCAGGAGCATTTCTGTTGTTTCTAGTTTTCCTTATCTTAGGCAGCACAATTCTGACCATATTTACATGAATTCCTTTTTTTAAATGTGATTTATTTTCTCCAAGGTTGGTTCTCTAGGTATTTCTTAATTTTTTTTTACACCTTTATTTTTAGTACTCTTTTTTATGACATTTTTAATATAAATGGCCTCAACTCTTTTTTTTGAAATCAAGTAATAAGTAAACATTTTTTTTTTTACTTTTTACTATCACTTTTTTTTTTTTAATATAAGGGAATTACGGGCGCCTGGGTGGCTCAGTTGGTTAAGCGACTGCTTTCGGCTCAGGTCATGATCCTGGAGTCCCGGGATCGAGTCCCGCATCGGGCTCCCTGC